GGCGGCGAGGTCACAGGTACACGCGCCGTTACCGCGCATGCGCGGGGGTGCCCGGGCCCCTCGCGACCGTTACCGCGCATGCGCAGAGCTGCCCGGATCCCAACCGCCCCTCAAAGCCAGTTGTGGCGCATGCGCTAAACGGACCGCACCCCCCCCCCGCGGCTGCTACTGCGCGTGCGCCCAGCTGCCCGGTCCCAACGGTTTCCCTCGCTTCTATGCTGCGCATGCGCCACGCTGCCCGGCGCCTACCCTTCCTTCACGGTCGCATTGCACATGCGCGTGGCTGCCCACGTGCTGGCACGTGGTCGGGGCTCCCCCCGGCAGCGAGGGGCCGCGTCCGCCCTGTTTGTCCTCGAAGGTGTCGAGGCGGAGCAGGGAGAGCCGCCTGCGCAAGGGGACAGCGTCTGGGAGCCCGAGGAGGGCGCCACGAGCTGGGCAGCGGATGGTTTGCTGGAGAAGTGGAGGTGCTGCACCAGCTGGCTCCAGCAACAGGCGGGGGGCAAGGATTCTTCTCCCAGCATTTCCTAAGCACGCTCGGCTCTGGAGGACCTTGAGTGCTTCCTCATTAAAACCCACTAGTTACACAGCTAAGTATTAAGCACACGTGATAAAGGGAATTTGGGGCCGTTTGTATGCTTTGGACAGTGAGAACCGAGTGTTTTTAGTGCACCGTGCTATGGCCAAGCCCGATGCTGGCTGCCTTGCTGAGGCTGAGATCCGTTCCCATAGGATAACCATTTATCCAGTCTTTGCCTTTCAAATAAGGTTACCATGAAAGGCTGTTTCAGAACATATTGAAATACCACCTCGGAGAGCCCGTCTCGGGTCTGCTGCTGCTTTACCCCAACTCCGTTCTTCATATCGTAGAGGTAGGTTAAGGAGATCTCAGCGTTACTATATCCCGCAGAGAAGGCCACAGCCTCGATTCGCGTGCACGAACCTCGGGCTCCTGTGAATGGGGTGTGAAGGGTGACCGCTAAACTTCCGAGCCCGCACCAGGATTGAAATGCAAGGCCTGAGGCCTTTCAGTGGATGCGGTGGTGTTAGCGACCAGAACACCAAGGACCATCCCATTCCACTCCAGCAATTACCCCGGTTCGCGAGCCTGCCTTCGGGGGCTGGACGTGTCCTTCCTGGAGTCCAGGGCAACGATCTCCTCACCAAAGGCTGAGCCGGAGGGGATGCCAGTCATAGACCAGCGAGAGCTGACCAGTCATTTTATACACGTTCGTCATTTGGGCCTAGTTTGTTTGTAACAGCTCCGTCTTCCCTTGCAGTCCTCCAGTGGCACAATCTATCGTATCCTCCACGATTTAGCTTCTCTCCAAAGTCAAGGTCCTAGGTAAGCGTTTCCCAGCGGGCAGGGTGCTTCCTCTAGGGATAACATGAGCTTCTGGTATGATTATAATAAAACTTGACCCAGTCAGCGTTTCTTTCTGGCAAAGGCCTGGAGACCATGATATCGATGAAATCTCTCTCTCAGACTATAGCGCTTTCCTCGTTAAAGTCCAACATCTCTATTTAACCCCCTTTCACCCTTCTGGTGCTACATGCTCCTTTTCTTGTTCTCTCTGCCACATGGAGAAACTAGGAGAATGACAGTACCTTTAGACAACTGGCAAGCCCCTTGGACTTGCTCTCTCCAATATGTCTTGGATTTTAATTTTTAAGCAGAAGCCTTCATAATTCAGAGAACAGCAAGTCCTAACACATGATTTCAGTGCAATTTCTGTATCTTGTTTCAAAAAGAAGGTGATGCATAAAATAAGAGGGGGGGGGGGGGGGGTCTGCAGATTGATGTGGTGAGAAAAATCACCTCTCAGGCGTCTTTCGTTTTGTAACTAGCTCCCATCACACGTCTGTACATGCTCCTTGTTCTACTAACACACAATATTGTATCCTCCAAGTCCTAGCTTCTTTCCAAAATGAAGAATAACACGTAATTATCCTCCTAAACTTCAGATTAAGTTGTGATGGGGTAAGGAAATCAGGTTTTCAGTTGCTAGATCCAAAACAGAGCTGGGGAAAATACCATAGTATTAGCAGCAAGTTTCCCGGAACACACAGTAGGTAACACCTCGTTGCGCAGAACAATCAGACTAATGCTTTCCCATCAGTGCTTTGCTACAGGAAATTAAGATTTTAGTGGTGTCACATAACATCCCAACCAAGCTGTTCCTGCAGTGGTATGTCACCATGGTGACTCTGCCTGTGACATACCTGGAAGATGTGACACAATCGCAGTCTACAGAAGAGGTGGTCACCGAGTGCCTTACTCTCCTGCTATGGATCTAATGGGTAAAACCGAAGGCAGTGGTTTGAGGCTTTTTTTTTTTTTTTTTTTTAAAGTGTACTTGCTTTTAGCGTCCGTTAATGCAAGTTTGCTAACGGGTACTGGTTCATGCACTTAGTGACAGAATCTAGCAGCTGTGTAGGGATGGAGAAATGAAGGCCTGTGACATCGGTTTTTAAACTCTTCCAAGCTACATTACCTGGGTGTTGAAATAAGTTATAACTTGTAGTCCATTAAGTAATATATTAACTTGAGTCAAAGACCATAGACGTTTTTCTCCTGAACGTAATGACTTAATTGGCCGTTTATAGAGTTGTCAATCAGTCCATTCTAAGGCGCATATCCCTGTTAAAGGGTAAACACGGAGGGGCAATAAAACCCGCTGCACTGTGCTGGGCAGCGTCAGGCAGTATTTTTCTACTAATGCTGAATGTGACCCTGAAGTATTCTCTCTTTACCACGAAGGTTAGCAGCAAGTCATTGGGCAACAACCTACACACACTTGTACCCAACCTCCTAATCCCAGCAGAGACCATTAACTACTTGTGTAATGCCAAGGACTGTTTGAGTCCAGAGGAGTTCCTGAAAATGTATAAGGACCCTTTACAGCCAGCCATGGACTCAGGTACATTAGCACCGCAGTTAAAAGTAGAAGCAACTTATCTGTGGCAACAGGATAGCATTTATCTACTGAGCCAAAGTACAGGGTTGAACGTCCAGGAAGAGTATACAATAAAAGTTAAAGAATCTTCCAGTATTTGACTCAGTAACTGGAGTCTCTCAGCTGGCTATTCCCCCTGCCCCCCTGGTAGTGGCTGGGGCAAGTTATCATCATCCTTTTAAACAGCTCCTCTGCAGACATCCCCCTTGTCCTGTAGGTACAAAAATGACACGTTCCCTCCGGCATGAGAAGAGTGCAGGTCTGTGCCCATTATAGAAAGGGCTTTGAGCCTCCCTTCGTGCCACCAGCCCGCTCAGGCTGAGCAGAGGCGAACGTGCCCCTGAAGGTGCTCCAAACAGAGTGTGGTTTCAGCCTGCCGCGCACACACAAAGCACCAGCTGTGTACGGGGCTGAGGACCACGGCACATCCCACTTCTTTCAGGCGAGCTAAGACAGCTAGGTAGATGGCTGGAAGAGTTTGGCTTTAGAGGGATCACTCAGCTGCTTGGGGGAATATTGGCTTCCTTTAAGTGCTTCAGCTTTCATTTTCCCCTCTCACAGAAACCGTGTGGCCTACCCCTGGTCATCTGTTTGCCTAGACACACCAGACCCTACCCAAAGCATTCTTCCTTAGCATTTGAGCATGTATTCATAGCGCAAACGGCAGAGAAACAAAGGAGCGCTGAAGAACACACAGCTAGCGTGGGGACTGGACACATGGTAGAAGAGGGGTCCTCTCCTTAGCCTCCTGGTATCGGCATGGAAGTACACGGGAAGGAGTCAGGAGGCCTTCAGTGCAAATCACCTGTTGATCGTCTGCCAAAGTGTATGCAAATAAAGAGAGACTTTTAAACGCTGGCATGGAATTAATGACCCTTTGTGCAGGAGTTATGCCAAGGTGGAATCTAGCTCTGAATCTTACACTTGGATAACGCGAGTCAGTATATTCAGGAACCGTTGCTATGCTTCTGCCAAGCACGTGAAAAATGCAAACCCAGCTCTCGGTCTTAATTCCATGCAGATTAGTGTGCACCAGGGTTCAAAGGCAGCGAGGGAGCAGCAGAAACCCTGCTTTCTGGAGGCACTGCCAGAAATGACAGGGAGAGATTTTCTGGGGAGTAGGAAAAGCAAACCTTTCAGTGACAAAAAGAGAGGATTCTTTAATTTTATAAAGGTTCACCCAACCGACGAATCTGAACACGTTCGCAATGCTTCCAAAATTCAACCCATTTTAGAAGGAAAGCAAAGACATTTCCACAGTTTCACCTTGAACCAAGGTTACGAATTTCACATAAAAAGTAGGTATGGTTAATACAAATATCTAGGAAATAAGGATAATGATCAGTACTTAAGGTAGCAATGAAATGATTAACAATACAGTAAGTTTCCTCCTACAGTATGACAGTCCTTCAAGGCACTAGAATACATCCACAGTTTTGAGAGGTAACCGATAACCAGCAGTCACCACCAGCATTCTGGCTTTTTTTGGTTCATACTTTAGCAAAGAGTCTGCAGCAAATCAGTGAGGGGGAATGTCTCTGGCAAGGCATCTCCATTTTAATACCATGTCTAAGGACTAGGGATAAAAATCTAAACCGTGACAAAATAAGTAGGTTATTTCCGTAATACATGCACTTTAAATAATAGCTAATGACTTGCTTTTTATTTTTTTGGAACTTCTGCTAATGCCATCTGTATTAGCAGCAATTAAGCTTCCTATGCAAGTCTGCAGTAATCTGCTCTTTCCATCCCGGATTTTGGAAGCCAGCGTCGAGACACAGATCATTAAACTTCTTCTTGATGGCTGTTACCTTCTCGATAACACTGAAGTGGAAGCTTTGTTCAGGTCCGCCACGTCTTCAAAAAAAAGCTTTTCCCTGTTAGGCCTCGACTCGCTGGCTTCCCACCAGGGCAGAAGGGGCTGAAAGTTTGTCTCCTTTACAGAGCCGTGCTTTCCGTGTCGTTGTCGATGTCCAGCATGAGATGGTTTTGCAGTTCCTTGCCCGCGGACTCTGCAGGAAGCTCTGAAGAGGGGCCTCGAAGTGGTTCTTGAGCACTGGAGTTGGAGTCTGCGGGGGCAAAACATGGGGGAAAAGCATCAAAATTGAGCAGCATGTGGACAGTGGCATTTTAACCACTCTTAGATCACTAGTAGCACTTAAAAAGAGGAGGGAAATGAACAGATGCAGGTAGGACATCAAACCAAGGGCCTGCGTCTGTGCACGTAACACAGGGGATAAGCCAGCTCAGAACTGGACTGAGGTTGGGCAGCTTCTCAGTCACCTACGTAAGAGGGAAAGGTATTCACCATTGTAGAGGTTCACCGAAAACATCAAAGGGTCCGAGGCCAAGATGACCGTGCCCTGCAAGATTCCTAGCTTCTGTGGCAGGTGCCAGGAACAAGGGAGTTCAGCAGTAAGAATTAACTCAGCATCTGGGAAACGTCAATCAAGCACTCCCTCCCCCTCCAACCACTTTGGCAAGCCATGGAGGCAACCAGCAGGCTCATTTAATACAGGGAGGAAGAAGTTCAGTAACTGACAAAGAAATCGGGATTAATGGCTGGGATCAAGGCCCTTCCCTTGTCTTGTATGGTTTGTCTTGGTCTTGGATCCATGACAGGAGTTTTGTCCTGACCCTCTGCTAGGGGTGGCTAGAAAGTGAAACAGTAGAGACCTCACCGCTGCGGCTCCAGTGACTCACTGCACTGATGAGCAGGATAGAAACCCCCAGGACTTCAACTTGGGGAACTTCAATGAACACAGTTAACTCCAAATATTTATGCTGAAGGCAGGGCAGTGGCACCTTATAGACTAATTCAGAGTCATACACTTGACTGTAGGCAGGGGACAAAGTTGGAGATGAGGACCTTTCTGCCCCCGAGGGCGGTCATGCATCGGAACAGGCACCTGGAGCAATCGTGGGCTCCTCATCCTTGGAAGTTTCCAAGAGCAGGTAGACGGACACTAGGCTGGAGCGGTTTCGTCAGAGATGATCCTGCCTTGAGCAGGGCGCTGGACTAGATGATCCAGCCCCGCTTTCCTACGATCCCACTTTGTGAGATGCTAGGCATGCATCTGACAAGTGAAGGTAATGCAAGAGTGATGTAGCTGTGATGGGCCAGAAATTGTGTGAGAGGCAGGGAGCTCTTAGGGCAATCTCTTTTATTGGCCCAACTGCGTAGTTGGGAGAGTCAGGCAAGCTTTCAAATGCAAAACCCGCTTGTGTTCACAGCACCTGACAACGCAGGCTGTTGCTTACGAAAGTATGGCTCTGAACTGGTGGATCAAGGTGCCACCCTGCCCGATTTCGCACCAGCACAGCTAACTACCAATCCAAAATATCTGTGCGTTGCACTCGCTTCAGAAGAGAAGTGAAGTGTCACTTACTGCAACACATTGGCATCTACAAATACAGACTATAATTCACTGCTCAGCTCAAGGAGCTTGAAGAGGCAATTTCACAAGCCCTCCCTAAGAGCCCAAAATGCACCAAGCTTCAAACCCAAACACTAATGTATCATTTACTTAACATGTTTAAATTGAAAGCCTTGATGCTAAGTGATTCGCCGAGAGAGGCAGCGATGGGATTAAAAAGCCTCAAGTGCAGCCTTTCTTCCCTGTTTTCAGCAAGAAGTATTTAAGCAAATCCTGTACCCGGGGTTGACAGAACTGCTCTCGAAAGTCCAGGTTACAGGAGCTGTGACACTGCTCTCTCCCTGATGGCACTTCAGTCGCTGGATCAATACCTCGGCCAAGGTCCTGAACTGATCCAGCTTTCTGCACGGAGCGATTTGCACACTCCACTAACTCATTAAACGACTCCACGTGCCCTTTGTTAAGAAGGGGCTTCCGGTTTCTGCATCCTTCGTTGTGCGTTTCCCTGCACAGCTTCAACTGACAAGCTGTGGTTTCCTCCGCACAACACAAGAATAAGTGCCGGATTGCACCCAGAGGATCATTACGCTCGGTGTCAAATGAAGTTACTCCAAACAGCTCAAGAGCTGTGAAGTGAACTATTAAGATGCACAGCAAAACAAAACAGAATAAAACAACTTTGTCCCAAGCTTGCTGTAAGTTCAATAACTTCAGCAAACCACTAACATCTTCCTTCTTTTCAGTTTGAAGTGTCTTGGTTACATCCACCGAATGTGTGCTCATAGTGCCCCATTTCATTGAGCGGAAAACTCATCGGACTGCTGGAGTCGATGGAATCAATAGTCTCTCCAAATCAATGGGAAAAAGTCCAGTAACGATATTTTCAGAAGGCCAAATTCTTGTTCAGCCTCACATTCAAATGCCTTTGTCCATGAAGCATATTATGAACTCAACTTAAAGCTAGCAGGCCATTATCTTGCTAAAAGGTTCTCAGCTTTTACCATGGGGACACAGCGAACCACTCTTTAACACTGAAATAGTACATAACATTAGGATTTGGGGGGGGGAGTTAAAGTCGGAAAACTGGCTAATTCCCTTGCTCCACACTCCCCTACTGCTGGCGCTAGAAGTGACAAGACACGCTAGTCAATAGCCTCCTAAGAGCAAGGGTTTCAAGTCCCTCACTTGGACATGGAGGCAATGAGAAATGTTTCAGGCTTTGTGTCTTTTCAGACTTCAGATGAGCGAAGTTACGTTTCCACAAATGGAAGAGACACTGGAAATCTAGCCTGGTCTCGCACACTGCCCAGACATCTACTACTGCGATTTGCATTTGTAGTTTAGCCTCATCTACAGAATCACGTAAGACGGCCTTAACCCGAGAAAGAAGACATGGGGCAGGAGAGCTTCCTACGACTGTCATTGTGAAGGATGAACGAGGAAAGGGAGTGGAGCTAGCACCAAGGGGCTTAGGAGGGTCCGAGGGGTATCTAGTCACGACACAAAGTGGTAAAAAGCAGACGGCTTCTTTACAAGTAGCGTGGTGATAAACCCACCCCTACGGATTCCCATCACATGAGATAAAACAAAGGGTGACATTACTGATACAAAACATGACAATTTGGGGCATTTTAGTCTCAAACGTATTTAGTATGTTAAATAAAGAGCAAGCACAAAACAGAAGAGCCATTCTTGACGCATGCTGTGCTAATTAGAAGGCAAGCAAGCCGCGTTACAGTGACTGGTTAGTAATGGGAATTAGTGCACACATGATTATGAATTAGCAATGCTTTGGCCAATCATATGCCTTTTCCTTACCATTAAACTTTCCAATTTCAGTTCCTACTGAATGCAGGTCAAACATCTAGATTGTTTAATAAAATTTCCAATTAGAATATTCTTTTCTGGGCTTATCATTTTACAGCTATTAATAGGATTTGAAGCATTACTGAAGTCCAGAGCAGGGAGGGAGGAATTGGGTATGCCAGTACCCCGAGAGCTTTTCTGCCAATTTTAGTTTGGCTTCCAGTTTTCCAGCCTGCAAGTCAGTTTTTCCCCTATTATGCATCTTACAGTTAAACAAAAATGCAACACATCATAGATTGATTAATTTAAAAGTCCAACGAGAGAGTTAATTTCATGAAAGCTACAGCATCTGCTTTAAGATAAGTGCCTATGAAACGCCTGGAAAGTGAGATCAGACATTCACAACTAGCGCAATGTCCTGTGTTAAATTAGGATTTCAGGATAAAATTTCACCGTAATCCCGATGATCGGGCCTCTAGTTTGGAAACGATTCATGATCCTCTCCTGCCGAGAGGGGAAGCTAAGCATCAGGTTTCAGCTATTTCTCAGTCTCCTAGTTTGATCTGGAACAGCGAGTGCGTTTGTGGCGTTCATCGAGAACGCAGCCAGTTCCCCTTCTCCTCAACTGGTGGTGTTCGGGGACAGTTCTCAGACTGATGTTCCCAATAAACGCTGTCCAGCT